TCACTGTATAGCTTTCCCATTTACAAGAACAATTATTCTAATTACAAGTACAACAGGATTGAAATTCCATTTTCCATTTTCTTTATTTTATTCACATTGTATCTTCATTTGCAAACAGATGCTATTGCAGCTTTGACAGAACTTTTAACAAGCAATTTGCTTCCTCAAAAATCTTTCTTTCTATTAGTGATTACAATTATTTAACTTATTTTTTACTATTAAACTTTATATATTTTATATTATACTATTTTACTTATTTTCTAATTATTATCTTAACTATTTGCTTATTACTGAATAAAGAAATATGTAATAATTTTCATCAATATCAGGTGAAGTAGCTGTTAAATACATAGTTTTAATTAATTAAATATGACTNGTCTTTCAGGTCGTTGAGACCATTGAGCTCAATGGTGAAACAGCGCTGATGTCACTAGTCTCAAAGGAGAACTCAACGGTCCATTTAGAAACATTGTTCTCTCACTGTTGAATATAGAAACGTACAGATGGTCTTGGAATGGATTATGTTCATTAACCAATCACCCACCATATTAGATTGTATGTTGTTCCATTTTTATTAAGATAATTATTTCACTTTGAAGATATTAAGACAATTTACTTCACTTAATGAATTAATGAAAATTTAGAACTGAGAGTATTTGTTCATATCTAAAATATTAACTGAATGTCTTTATTTTGACAATACTCATTTGTCTCTTTGTACTGAAATGCTTTATTTTTAACATGTATATAATCATTCTTATCTTTTTCTGATATGTGATAAATAGCTATTTTTACATTATTTGTCTAGACTTTAAAGATTCAGTTAAATAACATCAAAATAGTTTTGAAGAAATTATCACTAAATAAAAAACTGCATTTATTAATCTAATAGTAATATTAAATACTTTTTTAAAATTTGAAAATTAAGTAATTTCTATATTACTAAAAACTATAATTTCAATTGACATTTGTTTTGTGGATTGAAAGATGTGTATTTTTTATTACATTAAGTTAAATTGAAAATGTACATAAACTCTCAAGCAAAGTAATAACTTTTCTTATACAGTATGTAGCTGGATATATAAAATGATTTGATTGAATGGATTAAAAGTATTTTTCCAATAAAGATGCTAAATAATAAAATGAATTATAAATTTGGAGAAACAAAAAGTATTTTGTGATTGAATTAAGTAGCAATCATCTCAAAAGAGTGATTGGGTGGAAAAGTTTCACTGTATAGCTTTCCCATTTACAAGAACAATTATTCTAATTACAAGTACAACAGGATTGAAATTCCATTTTCCATTTTCTTTATTTTATTCACATTGTATCTTCATTTGCAAACAGATGCTATTGCAGCTTTGACAGAACTTTTAACAAGCAATTTGCTTCCTCAAAAATCTTTCTTTCTATTAGTGATTACAATTATTTAACTTATTTTTTACTATTAAACTTTATATATTTTATATTATACTATTTTACTTATTTTCTAATTATTATCTTAACTTATCTTAACTATTTGCTTATTACTGAATAAAGAAATATGTAATAATTTTCATCAATATCAGGTGAAGTAGCTGTTAAATACATAGTTTTAATTAATTAAATATGACTCTTTAATCCTAATTAATAAAAACCCGGTAGACTTCCTCTCGGGTATAAGGTTAGGGACTCCTTTATTGCAATTCACGAATGCATTTTGGGCCTATATAGCATCTAAGTCCCTCTTCAGTATAAATGCTACGTATATAAAGAACAATACAAATATTAATTTACAAATTATCAGGGCTGTGGAGTCGGAGTTTTGGTGTTTTAGCCAGAGTCGGATTGGTAAGGAAAAGTCGGAGTTGGAGTCGGTAGATTTTTACGCGACTCCACAGCCCTGCAAATTATCTGCACGAAGGTGATCTTTACAGACAAAAAATAAATTTTTTACATACCTCAGAAGACAGAGCAATGCTTTTTCTATTATACAGGTACATTTATATGACACTAACTCTGATATTTTATATAAACCAAAAAACATGAGTGTGTATTGGATGACACTAGTACACATGTACAATAAAAACCAATCTTAAAATCAGTAAATATACATTATTTCCATACACACTATTACACTAATAATCTCGTATTCTTTAAAAACGTTATCAGAATAACTGCAACAAAACGACATGTTTACAAATCATAAATCAATGATTTAACAATTTTATAAAAAAAAGGATAATACATACTTGGGATTGTAAATTTACCGACTTTTTCATTTACCAGTAATTCGGTAAATGAAAATTAAAATACCNAGTTTACGGACTACGACTGTTTGAAAGGTTTTCTTCCATAAAATTAACTGATTCTAGACTAATTCAACTCAACATTTCCAAAATATGTATAATTTTTTGGGAATAATCCATATAAACTATGCTATAAACAAAAAATTGTAGGATTACTTACTGAGTGTGCCCCGTTCGACGACACCATTGCTTAAGCTTGTTTTCGTTGTGGAGCTTGTCATCGAATGGCGCTCGCATGCTTCCTGATAAATTATTTTTTTTGCAAAAAATTCGCTGAACTTTGGAGACATCATTAATATAAATATAGTTTTTATGGACGTTAAATAATAAATGGTTTTTAGTAGGTTTGCTGCTCGTTTAAACTCAGCGGTTTGTACAATATATCCGCTATTGGTCTAGATTCGACCAATCCTGTCTCGACACGAGTCGGCGATGATGTTTTACTGAATTATACAAGTTTTTTAGTGTGTTTGTATGAATACTGTCGTAATTTTTTTACTGTGATATAGGAATCCAAACTACACTGCTGGTCATTAAAATTGCAACACCAGGAAGGAATGATCATATGAACGTCAAAATCATGTGAAAGGAGGAAGAGGTTGGGCTATGCAAATGATTAGTATTTCAATGCATTTAGACAATGCAGGAGGGACAAACGACATCTGAAGCACTGCATAAAAGAAAAGTTGTGCAGTGGATTTCTCATTCGGAATTCGCTTTGTAAGGTCGGGGTTTCATCAGAATATCGTGTTATGTCTTGAATAATAAGAAGAAATGCTTACCAGCAAGTGTTGGAATTCGATAGAGGCAGGATCATTGCCTGTCGAGAGGAAGCAGCATGGAATGAATTGCCCCATTTTTGTCATCCAAGCCCTGTTCGACTCCATGCTCGTTTTAGCCGCCGAGGGTGGCAACTGTGCATACTAATTTCGCGCCCCCGTAAATCCCCAAACTGCTTGCAAATTTAATCATTTTGTCTTTATGCTATACTGTTTATATACAATAAATAACTTTTTTTTTATTTGCTTTCCTTCTTGGTGTTGCAATTTTAATGGCCAGCAGTGTATATGAACCCGTGTTATAGGGGGGTTGACTGTACATTAAATTTTAAAAGTTTGGAACCACAACGATTAAACAACTCATATTATTTATGGTTATGTGGGATCCTCAAATAATGGCCTTAAAATAATGTATACATATAAGGCCACCCATATGTATACATTGAATTTGCATAAATGCCACTGTTAGGTTTAATTTTGATTTATATGTTCCAAATTTTTAAATTTAATGTATTTAAAAAACATTGGATTCTAAGCATTCCATTTTTGGAATATAATTGGCTTAAGAACCTGAAGCAGACCTTGGGTAATGTCGAAAGCATTATTTCGATATTGTATTAAACGCTATATTACCAGAATTAAGGGTTAGGTAATGGAGTTTTAAAACTTACAATATATACTATATAATGAAATTAGCAAGTTTTTTGACACAAATATATAATATATAGCTGATAACAAAAAAGTTAAAACATCATTAAGCTGAATTAATGCATCATTTTAGAAACATAAACTCGGCAATAAATTGCAAAACTTTTTAAATAAAATGCTATGTAGTTCTTTGAATATGTGATTTTCAATCAAGTTGTTTCATTTATAATTAAGAATTTTTACAGTAAAGATTACTATTTTTTTGAATACATATTTTATTATAATTAATATTTTTATGAACAATTCCTTCTATTCAAAGTAAATACAACATTATTTTAGAAATGAGGCTTGAGAAATATGTGGAAAAACTACACAATGTTTTAGTTAATAAGAAATAAGATTTATAAGACGTAAATTTCAAACACGTAAAATCGCTAATTTTCCGAAAAGTTTTCTAACAGGGGAAAGTGTTCGAGTCGTTAGATGTTAAGAAAAACAAAAATTATATNGAAAAAAGAGATTGTTGAGAAATATGAAGGTGGCATGCATGTTCGAGATTTAACTGTTGCATACCGTATTCCGAGAACAACGATATCGACAATTGTAAAAAATAAAGACATTATTAAATCTGCTAGCATTACAAAAGGGGTTAAATTATTTTACAACCCCATTAATATACCATATCAGGAGGGTTTTTTTACATGAGAACAGATTAATCAGTTTTACATTACTTCTTATGGGAAAGGTTGGTTTGGTATATATTTTATTTGATATAAGTCCAAACATCAGGAACTGATTAAGGTCATATACCGAGGTTCCGCTGTAGTTAAATTTCTTGCCATAGATGGTGCTGTTAAAACTGAAATCATTTGTAAATTTGTTAAAGTAAGAATAAAAAAATAAAAATGTTTGTAGTGTGAGCTCTAGTAACAACTTCACAAATTATGTAATCTTATCAAGCGCTGTCTATGGCAAGAAATGTAACTATTTTGGTACTAAAATTTTTATGGCAGCTAAAAAAATCCCACTTCTTTCTAAGCATTTCTGTGAAAACTGCATCATCTTACTGTAAATAGTTTGTAAATTATTAATTTTTTAAAATTTCTGTGACTTTTGAATTGCCCTGTATATATATANTTTTTATGACAGCTAAAAAAATCCCACTTCTTTCTAAGCATTTCTGTGAAAACTGCATCATCTTACTGTAAATAGTTTATAAATTATTAATTTTTTAAAATTTCTGTGACTTTTGAACCACCCTATATATAAGATAATGATTTTTTAGGGCTATAAGAAAATTCCTGGAAATGCAAATAATGAACGTTATCGTTTATTAGTACATGATGGTTGCATTAGTCATCCATGTAAGTGTTGTTTTTATAAAGATTATTTTTTTGTATAATAAGCTTTGTATTATATTTAATCTTCTGTTAGCACACCAAAATGTTATGGAATTTGTTTCTATTGAATTTGAATTGTATTGGAACATTTTTCCTTGTTTTTCTGAAATTAATTATATTTGGAAAAACAAATAGTCAATGTTTAAATAATTGTTTATTAACCATTAGGAAAGATTTTCATAGAATTGAAGACATCAGTGGATGAAAGTGTAATATATCTGTGTCTTGCATACAGTCAACAAATGTCTCAAAAATTAAACAACATTGTAATATTTTGTGACACACTATTTTGTCATTATATTTACTAAGTAACATTACACTGAATAATTACATAAAAACTTGAACATTAATTTATTGGAAACTTTGATTTGTAACATAACATCATTCACTCGTGTCTTCAGTTCACATTAAATCTTGTTCAGCATTCAATGTGTTATAGTATGTTATATCATTACGTTGAACAAAACAATACAGTACCAACTGCATAAGTACACATATACACTATGTGTGTGTTTATAGTGTTAATAATGTAATATACAGTGACTGATCAAATTATTTGTCACCTGCATATTTATGCATGATTTTGCAATTTGACACAAGACCAAAAAAATGTTAGTTTTTGCAAGAAAAACAAGTTAGTTCTTGAATCAAGGTTGCTTGTTGTTCTCTATTATATGTGTTTGGTTAGCACAATGTTGCTGTTGAGAACGTATCATACAGGAACACTTTAAGAGGAAAAAGGGTTGCTTTATTGACTTGGACGGATATGCATTTCGGGCTTAATGCCCCTCTTCAGTCCTATTATTAGTTAGTTCTTGACTGACCTGGACATTCTTGCTGAAAACCTCTGAGAAACTGATGAAAAAGGACATTTTTGCAGTCCATCACAAACAAGTGACAATTAACAGTGTTTTTGATTGAAATGTGGTACAGAAACTTAAAAACAAACTGCTTGAAGTGCATAGAAAGTACACTGAAAATAATTGAAGATATAATTTCACCAAAAGATCGAGTTACTAAATTTTTATTTAGTAACTCAGTTTTTTGTGATTTTTTTTTCCAAAGTTATGATAGTTTTTATAGTTTTGAAATGCAAAATTTATTAAATTTCTGATTTAAAATTATCACTTGCAAAAACCTTGATATATTTTTTTTTTATCAATCAAAACTTTATTCATAAGAGGCATTAGTCTGTTACAAAAGGTGTTTAGCTGATTATATAACAAAAAAGTTTTAACATAATTTAAACAAATTATCAGAGTTGATAACAGTTATCTTTTAATTTATTATTAACACACAACTAGTTTTAATTTATTATTAACATGAATATTAATGATTTATTAATTTATTAGAAAGAATTTTTGTGCATAATTATATAAATTATAAATTGATGCATTTTGTGCCCTATGAAAATAAAGGTACATAGACTTTTCGTTGACAACAAGGCCCAAAGCACTGAGATTGTATCTTTCTTTTATATCTTGGGCCTCTCTGCATAAACCAGGGGTGTCCAGCCTGTGCATTGCATGTGGCCCAAGGCAAGTTCCAATGCGGCCCAATAAACGTGTAAACAAAACCGATAAATTTGTTTATTTATTTCAATGGCATAAACTCAAAAAAGAAGTTTCACAAAGCCACAAACCTTTATACATAATTTATTTTTGAATAGAAACGAAATATTTTCAAATACTTGGAAATGTGTGAATGAAGAAGATATACTAAATAAAGCTGGAGTTGTGACTCAAAGGAGTATAGACTCAAATTTGGGGAAAGGCTAAAAGATAAAAAGTAGTGAGAAAGGTAAAATAGACCTACTGTTATGCAAATATTGACTCTTAATTTTCCAATCTTTCTCACTATTTTTTATCTTTGTCCTTTCTCTCCTTTTCCCGAATTTGAGTCTATACTCCTTTGAGTCCCAACTCCAGCTTTATTTAGTATTCCATAGTGTTGCAAGATTTGGCTACTTTGCACCAAATTTGGCTACCCTTTTATTAGTTTGGCATAAAAATATAATTTGGTGCATTGGCTACTTTTTGGGCTACATCTTATTTATAAATATATTATTTGAACAAAAATGCACTTTAAAATGGTGTTTCATCGTTTTTTATTAATTAGAGACCCAAATAAAATAAATATTTGTGTTTTTCGAAAAAATTTTTGTTTGTTTCCTTTATAATAAATTAATTTATCTATTTCTAAGTAAAAACTGAAAGTGTCTGTAGAAGTAATTTTTTAAAATAACCTTTTTCGTAATAAAGTTTTAATACTTATTACTATAATCTAGACATGTTAATCTTTAAATATACTTGTAGAAAAAATTTTTTTCTTTTTGTTTTAATATAGTTCTTGTATATCTTTTTGTTTTCTAAAAGTCCCAATCGCATCATACGGATCTAGATTTCTACTTATTAAACATTGGGCCACAAGTATATATAATATACTTGTGGCTCAAAACTCCATGACTTATTCCAATGTGTCCCAGAGAAACAAAAAGGTTGGACACCCCTGGCATAAACAAAACATATGCAGTTCATTAAGAGTATCACCACATTTTTGACAACATCATCTGGAAAAATTGTATATAGCATTATCTATATACAGTAGTGCTTCATATAACATATGCCTCGAATAACGGACTTTCTGTTTGGCCGTTACGTGACTCGAGCAACAGACTGACTACAAACAACGGACTTTTCATTCGGCAGTTATGTGAGGCGAACAAGTGCGAATGATGTTTCCACACTTTTGCTGTTGCCAATGACAATCTGCTATTTTTATAATATATTAGTATTATTAGAATATATTATTAGTATATCTGAAGTACAGAGCTCCCTTGTTTATTACGTACATCACCTCAGTGCAGGGTATTTACATTTATTCAAGTGTTGTGCAAATCATGGCTTCTAAAAAAAACAGAAAGGTGATTTCAATTGAAACAAAGAAGAAATCATCAGAAGGAATGAAAGTTGACAAAAACTTCCTTGTCAAATGGGGAGAGGTTCAGGAGTTTACCAACACTCACTATCCAAACATAGCTGAGGCCAACAGGATCAATGATCTCTACAATGACACCCTTGCCCGTCATTTTCAACAGGTGTTGAAGAAGAGAGAGAAACAGACTACCTTGGACATGTTTTTCAAGAAGCAAGCTGCCAAAAAACAAAGAATGGAACAAGAGTTGACCCTGCAAGCTTCGGTAGCCTCTCCTGAATCTGACTCCGATTAAAAAATAATAAAAAGAGACCTGCTGCAATGTGTAAAAAGTCTGTATCTGTATGAATGTATGAAGTAAGTGTTCCTCTACCTCCTCCTCAACATCTGACTACCCGGCATAATTGGTGACTGCTCCATTTTAATTTTTTTCATGGTACAGTACAGTTATTTTATGCTGTGGAACGAATTATATGTTTCAACATGTATTTCTATGGGAAAATGCGTTTCGTATAACAGACTTTTCACTTAACGGACGTGCACCTGGAATGGATTAAGTATGTTATATGAGGCACCACTGTACATATAAGCCATTGTCATGTCCTGTCTGTAACAGTATGCCTAAAATGCCTACTAGGGAAGCCCTAGCGATCATTTTAAATTTATAAATTATTTTTATTTGTAATAGGAATTTATTATTGATATGAATTTATTATTTATACCACGGAATGGTATAAATAATTATTATATGCCTTGATTAACCTTGCTCCACACGTTTACAACATCCCTTGACTCAGTGAATGTCGCACATTGACTCACGGGAATTTGTTGAAAAAATGGTAGGTACATTTAAAATCAAGGTTTACAAGCAAAGGTAAATAAACAAATTAAACTATTTTAAAATTTTATAGAATGTTTTATTAGTAGAAATCTAAATCTGTATGATGCGATTGAGACTTTTAGAAAACAAAAAGATATACAAGAACTATATTAAAACTAAAAAGAAAAAATTTTTTTCTACTATAAATGATTCTTTAATAAGTCAGAAAGATACAAAAGTATTTTGGAACATTATAAATAGTTTCCATAGATCTCCAATAATTGCCAACAGGTTTCTTGTGCCGCTTTCTAGTTGGCATCAATATTTCAATGAATTTTTGTATAACTACTTAAATAACTACAGAATGGATACTATTGATAATAAACAACTAGAGAGCCAACGATATGACGTGATATTTAATATAGAAAATTTATACTCTAGCATTAAAAAACTGAAAGACAAAACAGCCCAGGGCAAGATTCAATTCCTAATTTTATAATTAAGAATCTACCGATGTCCATTATTAATTATTTGACAAAGACATTTAATGACCTATATAATTTGGGCAGATCTCCAAAGGATTGGGATAAAGTAATACTGTATATGCTGTTTAAAAAAGGTGCTAAGAAACAACCATCCAACTACTGTCCAATTGCACTATTCTGAAAACTGTGTACTTCAATTCTTCTGATAAGATTCAGTGAATGAATAAAAAAAAAAAAACTTTAAAAATCATACCCAATATGCATTCAACAGAGATGGAGAAACTCAAGTAGCACTCTTCGTCTTATAGGCAGTAATACAACTTCAGCTTCAGAAAAAAGACATAGTGTTTGCTCTATTTTTAGATATAGAAAAGGCATACAACTCAGTTTCAATTCCAATATTACAGAGGAAAATGACAAGTTGTTGAGCAGAAGATAAATTAATAAGAGCTGTAGGATTGTTGTTTGGTCAGTATGATGATGTGATAAAACAGAATAATATTTATGGCTGGATTTTGAAATTAGTCACAGCTTATTACAAGGAGATCCTTGGTCTCCATACTTATTCAATTTTTATATGTTCAATTTGAATGCATGCTTTACTAGGGAAGACAACAGTTTTATGTTCAACAACTAATCAATACATTCTATGTCATATGCAGATGACATACCGGTAGTGATCTTAGCTCTGACAGCTGCTGCCATTTGAAGGAAAACACATGCATTAAATGAATATTGCAATAAATTAAATTTAAAAACTAATCCAAAAAAATCACATATTATGATATTCCAAAATGGAACCAGGCTCTCAAGAAAACATATGACCTTTCATCTTAAATAAATTTTTTAAGGACTGGTCTGAATTTATTTTCCAAAATTATTGTAGGCTCTTTTGTTTTTCAGTTTTATAATAACAATATTTATTGTTATACCATTTTTGTTTAAATATAACTGTCTCATTCCTTTAACACTTTTTAAAACAATACAATTCTAGTGCCGCCATTAAATTATCATAATTCTTATTAGGTTTTTTAGCTGCCTCTTGTAATAAAATGTCGTTAATATTTGTTCCAAACTCATTTAGAAATCTCTGTTTATTAAACTTTCCTCTCATCTTCATATTTTGGTTTGGATAAAATATAGGCAACTTTGATATATTTACTTTTTTTAAATTTCTTCTAAGTATTAATTTTGTTGGATAATGATCTGACTCGTCTATATTTAGTATTTCCATCAACAAACATTGATCCAAAACTGGTTGAGAACATATAATGTAATCTATTATCGATCTGCCCATGTGTGATAAAAAGGTGAACTCAGAAGAAAAGTTGCGTTTGACTCTACCATTCAAAATCACCAAATCATTGTCCTGGGTGAAGTCTAACAATGTTTTTCCATCTATGTTCACAATTCTGTTGTTGGACAATCTTCTATTGATAATGTTATCATTAATTCTTTTGTATTTTAAATCAATTGATTCCCTGATTTGTGCATTAGAGCAACGGTTCCCAACCTTTTTCGGGTGGCGACCCCCTTTTCATAAAAGCCAAGTGATCCGCGACCCCGATACAATTGAAAAAGGTATTTTTAATAAGGTAATTAAAAAAACAATGAAATTAGTTTTTTAGTATAATTTTATTTTAAATTATGTTTAATAATTAATTTAATGAGATGGTTGAAATTGCATGTATTATTAACCAGCCTCAAAATTCGCGGGTGAGATTTTGTTAACGCCAACCTCATGTCATTCTCAACATTTAATTTATTCCTCTCAAAACTCTCAACACATGTTTCAACCAACTGTGACAGAATAGC